ATTATTTTGAGCGCGTACTACGCGCAATATCCAAATCCAATATCAAGGCTATTGTACATTCAGACAATCCCGTCCAAAATGGTTGGGACACTTGGAAATAACCTTGGCCTCCAACGGTCACCAACTCCCCCGCACCCCCAGTCAATGTTGTTCTCTTCAGCGGATGAAACACACACCGCGCAATGAGAGACAACCTTGACCGGGGGCCGGTGGGTTGCTGGCCCAGCGAGATTTGGCCAGGATTGTAGCAAGTAAAAAACACTGAATGCAGAACTGATATACAGTTATGTAGATATGGAGATTAGAAAATGCCCCTTTTAATGTGATGTCAAACGACATGTAATGACGTCATGGTGACGTCTGTTAAATGTTTACTTTTAACATATCTCAGTATAAGGCTGTTGTGCTGCTGCCACAAGATTTTCTTTGATCTGAAGAGTTTGGTAATCAATTCCCCATTATTTTGGGTATACCCATATTACTGCTGTCAACAAGTTGCAGTTCACCTACTGTACAAAGTTGGATGTCGTATATTCATCGTTCTTGAAGATATTTCAGCATGATTCCTGGCCATACTTTGGTCTATTTTCAATTGGTGCTGTTCCGGTGCTGCTCTTGTTCAGCGATCCATCTAACTGGGACACAAGGCTTGTCAACAATGAATGGGACACCAGCTATACCTACATGTACCCTGTATGGGGGATCATCGGAAGAACAACCGCACTCGATGCCATGCCGGGTGCTTGTGAACACAATGGCAATTATAACGTATGCACAATACGCTAATGAAATGCTGATGTCTGTTCACATGGCTAAGTAACACCTTCCCAGTGAGACAATTGCTAGTTTAACAGAAAATTTAAATGTTATGAGGAGTCGGCCCGCTGGTCGGTATATTCAGAGTGGTTGCACCAGCGCCGAATAACATTCGTGTTATTACCACTCGTAACAGAGAACAACCGCGACTAACACACACCCCGACCACAATGCACCGCAATCTCAAAAATAATAACACTATAGCTATCCACAGAAACAGGAATGATAAGTTGAATGTTTATCTATGGAATGCCAACTCAGTGAAAAAAAATTATGTTCTTCTCAGTGAGTACATTTTGGATAACAATGTTCATAAATGAAACATGGTTAAGATGCAATGATCTATTAGTTTCTACACTTTCCAGAAATTGCACGGGGCAGGGGATGGGGGGGAGCAACGACGCCCGTGGTTGTATTGCTTTCATTGTACTCACTTGAAATTGTCCACGATGGAGACCCGCACTCAACCCTACACTTTTGAACTTGCATGAGTCACAATCTTGCAAAGTGAGTCTGCTTCACTGTCATCTATCCAGCGCCCCCTTCAACAAGAAATGCTCTTAGAACCTCTGACTTTCTTGCCGAATTAGCTGAATTGCTGGATGAGCTCACCACTAGCGCATCTGGGCTGATTCTCATTGGGGATTTTTTACATTCAGGTTGACGTGCCTGACAAAACCGAAGTGGCCCGTTTCCTGTAGTTATTAGAAGAGGCTGGACTCTCTGTCAGCATATTCAGAGACCAACACATGGACATGGTCAAATACTAGACCTTGTCATCTCTAAACCTGAGAGTGCCTTGGTTACCGACTGCCGAGTTTATAATAAACTGTAATGCTGTTAACAAAGCCAACCCTGATCCAAAGTTTATCACAACATGCTCTCGAAGTTATCAAACCCTGGATAAAGAGTCCATTCAAGTGCATTTCATTTGATAGTTCCGTTGATGATCAGGCCTACTACAACAAGGCTTCGCGGTCTGTCCTTGATGCACATTGTCCAGCATCTACTTGGACTCGTCGCCTTCGTTGCAATCCACAATGGCATACTGATGAGATCCACTGCGAGACGCAGTCGAAGGAGATGTCAGAAGAGATGGAGGAGATCTTTAACGTTTGCAGATTGTCATCAGTATCTCCATCAAGTGCATTTCGTCTGCTAGCTCATTCACATTCAATAGTGTAAATAATACAACAGTCAAATGATTTTACCAACACCAAGACTGCATTGCGAGTCCTGAACACACTGCTGAACAGGTCAACAGTTCTGCCTTTTGAAGGTGCTGAATGATAGAACAAAAAAGGAGAAGAAGAAAGAACAAACAAAAAAAATGGGAACAACAAGAAAGGCTGTTTTGCAAATTTACCAAATAGCAGAACAGATACATTTGCTTATGCACCAGAACAGATACATTTGCTTATGCAAATCGCTGAGGCGCCAAAAATCTGAAGAAAATTACGGAAATGTCAAAAACAAACTACACAATGTGGATAAAAATGTATGATGTGCACTCCTCAGTTATCTTTGTGTCACACATTATTTGTAGTTGTGAAATAATTAGTTGGAGCCTCACAATTATTTAAATCATTTACAGTATTGATAGTCAGGGATGTTAGGGCGTTATAGGGGCCGTTTGATTCACTTTCTTCCAAAAGCACCAAATTTGGCACAGATGTCGTTCATACCATACTATTTCGATTTTTGACGGGCGCCAAGACGGGCGCCCCACGGGGCCGCCATATTGGCAACATCCAATATGGCCGCCAACTGGGTCAGAGGTCAATCGAACTAAACGAGCTAGAATCCATAAATAATACCACTTTTCAGGTATTTTCGGGGTCGAGCAATCTGAATCTGATGTTATTTTAACGATTTGAGGCAAGACAGATGCCCCAAATGGACCGCCATATTGGCAAAATCCAAAATGGCCGCCACATACCGCAGTTAAAAAACTTAACTAGCTAGAATCATAAGTAATACAACTTGGAGGGGTTTTCGGTGTCAACGAATCTGAATCTGAGGTTATTTTAATGATTTGATGCCAGACGGATGCCCATGGGGCCATATTAGAAAAATCCAAAATGGCCACCAAGCAAAGTTAGAGGTCAGTCACAGTTAAAAACTAAACGAGCTAGAATTATTAATAATACCATTTTACATGGATTTTCAGGCTCGGAGAATCTGAATCTATTGTTTTATTAAAGATTGTATGTCACATTTTGCCCTAAAGGTCATTAAGGATTGGACAAATAATAAAGATTATTGTTTGAAGTATTTTCATTTAAATATTTAGAGGTGATGTCTGCAGTGACAAAATGCTATGTGCCGCTGTGTGCGTTTAAATGGAGCTGTTCATTTGTTGAGCACCTTGCATATAAAACCTAGTGTGATTGCATTTCAACCTTCCTTTGCATGTGCCTGCAGCCGCAGCGCACGAGAATGGCACATGTCACTGAAGCATCATTGAGAGTTGGTCCATAGTGATTGCCATGTACTGGTACCATCTTCGTGCCAGCCCCACACGATGAAGTCAGGAATTTCCTGCTGGACCGAGGTGGCCTGTAGTAGCGGTTGCTTTACATGTTCAAACAGCACGGCAGGTAGCTGGGATGCTTCCGACAAGCTGCTCCCATTAGTGAAGAAGCGATGTCTGAACCCATTTGACACCTACAGTTGCACCACACCCCTTGCTCTGCATGAAATGGCGAAGCAAGTTATGTCGCACCATGTTAGGCTTTGGAAGAAGGGTGGTGCCAAGGACTTTGTCGGACCGAGATCGGAGTAGATACTTTGGACTAGTATGTTACTGTACTTTTCACCACTTTTGAAGCCCACCCAGATCTCCAACAGGCCGAGGATCTCCAAAACAAGCTTGAAATGATCTCGAAAGTGATCGCAGTGACTCGACTCTCAATCCTTCACTGGCTCAGTGGGTCGCAAATCAAGTTACTCCGGTGCAGGTGCACCCATAAGATGTGGATGCAGCCTTGTCTAGGTATAGGGCGTAGATAACGATTTTGGCATGGGGCTTTGCCGACTCGTTTGCTAGCACTGAGTTAATCGTATCCCAACCAGGTGAGGATGTCACCATCTGCAAACTGTTATGATGTGTCGAAGAAGTCAAGCTTGATGAGCCCGCCTCACTGCAGGGTTTTCATGCGGGAAATGGATATTTACGGTTTGGGCATATCTGTGATCAACATCTTGGGTGGTGAAGACAATGAAACGACCGTTGGTTGATAGCTCCACCCATCCTCAGCATGGCGGGCACACACCACACGCGCCTATACATCCGTACATAACTTAGGACAATTTTCTCGCTCCAATCTAAGATTGTTTCTGTGGTATGCGTAGACTTGAAATGTCAAACTGTCCGACATGTGCAGCTAATGGGAAAAGGTTTTTTTTATGGAATGACGCACCAGAAACACCAGGTTTGACCGGAATGATCTCGAGTGGTAAAATTGACATCAAATAATTAAAATAACATCAGAATCAGATATTTGGAACCCCCCCCCCAAAAAAAAAAACAACAACGTTGTATTGTTTTAACTGCAAGTACCTCCAACCTGGGTGGCGGCCTTTTTTCAAAAAAGGCGGCTCCTAGAGCATCTGCCTTACCTCGAGTCATTAAAATGACATCATATTTAGATTCTGTGACCCCGAAAACCCATTAAGGGTGGTATTATTTAAGATTTAAGCTCGTTATTTTCTTAACTGTGATATATGTGGCGGCCATTTTGGATTTTGCCAATATGGCGGTACCTTGGGGCATCTGCCTTGCCTAAAATCGTTAAAATAACATCAGATTCAGATTGCTCGACCCCGAAAATACCTGAAAAGTGGTATTATTTATGATTCTAGCTCATTTAGTTCGATTGACCTCTGACCCGATTGGCGGCCATATTGGATTTTGCCAATATGGCGGCCCCGCCTGGCGCCCGTCAAAAATCGAAAACGTATGGTATGGACGACATCTGTGCCAAATTTGGTGCTTTTGGAAGAATGTGAACCAAAATATCCCTAAGACCCCCGACTATGAACGAAGGAGGAAAAAGTATTAATCCTTTTTTGTGATATTAGAAGAGAAAATGGTTTTGTCACATTCTATGGATCTAAAATGTCAGCTATATACTCTGAATTCAGAAGTGAATGCATCATTCAGCTGCGACTTCAACACAGGAATGTGTGGGTGGCAGCAGGCAGCACACACTGTCTGGGAGTGGTTGATTGGAGTTGGAAGCAGCGACCTGAGCGACACCGGACCTTCTGTTGACAGATTTGGAAGTAAGACGTTTTTTTCCCTTTGGCCTAGATCATCTTTTGAACACGAGAGGATATGAACGAGGGGACATATTACTTCGTGTCAAGATCTATTTTCAAAACTGTGGTACCTCAATTCTACCATGTGCGATAGTTGGCTTCTTTGAGGTCAAATGTCTTCAATCGTTTGTAAAATGTGCAGTAACAATTCTTTGTAAAAAAAAAAGGGTTTTGCAAATACACAATTTGTTTCTCGATTTTAACACCTCTATTGCGCAGCTTCTAATATGACGTACCTGTATGCAAGTGGAACCGACATATCAGAGGGAGCAAAAGCTATATTGACGAGTCCTGTCATGTCTCAAAGGGCATATATCTGCTGGATGCTGACTTTCTGGTACAACATGTTTGGCAGCGGCATCGGTAAGGGATATGTTTACTTTTACAAAAGAAACATTTTTTTAAATTTAAATAAGCTATACACCGACCAGAAGCATTTATTGCTCTTGTGTTTGTGTATCTTCTTTTTCCAAACTGACTTTCTGTCAAAAGCTTCAAATCATTTCTACCACAGCCTTCCTTTAAGGACCCCTTTCCAAAGCACCACAAAAGGGGCTGATCTACTCTATTGGGCTGACGTAGCTGAGAGTCACGGTCATTAAATTCTCGAAAAAAAATACACAATGTTTTACTCAGACTTTGATGACGACAGCGCTAGAGCTGTAAACCAAAATAAAATTGTCTTTAATGAGACTGTTTCACAGTATTGCATTTTATTTGAGGCTGTTTCTGGAAGTCCCGTATTCTCGAACATGTGGCTGTTTATGTGAACATGTTCATTTGACCTTTCAGGTAGCCTTAATGTGTATCAAACACCTATAAATGGGAGTATCAGTGAGGGTCTGCGTATCTTCAATATGAACGGGCAACAGACAAACAGCACAACGTGGCTTCAGGCAGAGATAATGCTCCCAGACACACCTCCCGAATTCAGAATCGTAATTGAAGCAGTACGCGGAACGGATTCTTCTTCCAATATTGCTATAGACGATGTTGCTCTCAGGCCCGACAATAGTAAGTTCAATGTAATTATTATTGATCCATAGCAGCAATAATGTAAACTGTTCCGATCGATGTTGATGCGAATTTGGTATGACAACTTCTTGACTGCGCATAAACGGCCAACAAGATAAGGTTTTGCAGTAGAAAAAAAAGAAAGAAAAAAACACCTATTGACTCCTGTAAAGATATAACGGCTCAACCTGATGGAATTCACCTGAAAACGATTCCAAGCATAAGACTTAGTCCAACACCTATTGTTATTCTATGAATTTACTATTATTATTATTCTCCAGGACAAATTCGTTTCCAGAACTTTTTGTCAAAATGAAACATATATGAACTTCAATTGTCAATACATAAATGCCCAACCTACTGAAGATGTGCTTTTTTGTAATAACGTCATTATGACGTCATCATGGATCACGTGACGTCACTTGATAGATTAATAATTTTAGTCTTTGAAAATCAATAAGAAATCACCCGTGAGAGACCGAACCTTGAATTTTACAGGAATTGATATAATAATACATGATAGAGGGGGTGGTAAAGTCCAATGTCAAAATGTGAAGACGCCCATCTGGAAAATGGTTAACACCGTCAATACAAGACTTTTGACACCAAAACTAATACTGTATCTCTTAAATAACCCCCACCCCTTCAAATTCAAAATGAACCCCAAAATGGCCTTTTTTTCTGGCTATTCGAGTATTCTGCTGTTCATACCCTGCCTAGTCATGTTGTAGTAATGATGAATAAAGACTTATTATTTCAAATTGGAAACATTCAGGCACAACAGCCTGAAATAGGCAACAGGAGCATAGCAAGGGCATAAATTTACATGTATATTGGGGGGGGGGGGATAACAATGTCTTGAAAAGGGCACTTGCACATCCAGGCTGAAATGTATATATACAGACACATTTTTTCCACAGTTCACTTGGCCTCCGTAAAATCAAATTGAGCGGGGGGGGGGGAGGGGGGCTGGTACCATCTGCCGATGGGGGTGCTGTTCTAACCGAAAATTATGCGCACTAGGGGGGGGGGGAGATCCCCTCCTAACAATCATATCATTTGTACCCCCCCCCCTATTTTGTTCGTCCCCGGATGAAAATTGTAGCCAAATTAAGCTCAGAAAAGCTGATTCAATGACTTCAAACTTGAACAAATAATGTTTAAAATATGATCTTTTGCTCACACAAATGTGTTTTAATTGTCAAAAATTGCCTCAGATAGCACCACAGATCGTCTAGAATTCAAAAAGTTTCCCGGACCCCACACCGTTAGGGCTTCGCGCTTTGCGATCGCATTTCGATCAAGGTATGTTCCCCCCACTTTTGAGAAGCGATTGACCCCCTTGGTGAGACATGGGGGGTGGATTTCAAAGCAGGTCTTTTGCTTTTTTTTAATTTTTGTATAAACATTCCTGTATTATTCGTGATTGCATTGATAAATAAGTCAGCTAATTCAATGGATATGCATGAAATTACTATGCCATCTTTAAGATGAAAAGACGGACATGGATGGACATTCTTGAATCATACTACTTTCATTCTTATGATTAATCCAGCTCTTGGTCCATTTATATTACTTATTCAATGTAGAATTGGTATCATTCAACACTTAAGCAACCTATTTTATTTATGAAATTGAAATGCGACTTGATACATGTTCACAACAAGGCACAAATTTGTGATAAATTTCTGTCCCTGTTATGAAAATGTATGAAGTCTTGAAGATGTACATCCCTGTAGTCTAAAAAATACCTACCGGTAGAGGTTTATGATTGACCAGTGGCAATCCCTCAATGAATAGCTTTACTTTAGGAACATGTATTTCTATGGCCCGACTGTCTGTGATATTTAGTGACATTAGTGCATTAATAATGTTCTTAATATATTAAATTGTCAGTTATGTGCTCATCTATGAAAGTCTTAATGACTTCAGTGGTGTGTTCAATATAAACTATGCCAAATGGATTAAAATGGAAAAAAAAAGGCATTCATTTCGCAATTACACCCACTGTCCACAGTGCGTGCAGTGCAGATTTAGTTTTTTGGGTGGGGTGGGTTTTTTTTTCATGCTAGATACCCACTTCCTATACAAAATATCCCCAAAATGACCCAATGCATCACCTCTGAAGTAGGCGCGATATTCCAAAATTTAGATTTTCATCCCAATTATCACCCGCGCTTTAATACATGATCTTCATTTTATCTCTTTGGCGTCAAATCACGTGACCCTTCCTTCTGGTCGAAACCGGAAGTGCCTGATATTTTGAAAGTAGATGAAGATGTGAACTTGCTTTCGACGGTGTTAGTTTGTGCCTAGGTGGAACTTTACACACAAAAATATTGTTGACTTCATAAGATGTTTGAGCGCCCTCTAGCGGCAAGTTACAAAAGCCCAAAACGCATTTACAGTAGATGTGTGTGGCGAAGTTTGCGGTAATCGCTTTAAAGGGAAAATACAACATTTGCAAACATCAAAAAATAAAACTACCAAATCATTCTGAAAAACCTTGCTGGACTGTTAGTGATGACAGTGAAAAGCATCCTGTAAAATCATGGCACCTGGTATACTGTCATTTTCAAGAAAAGAGGTATTTTTGTATCAATTTCCAACGCTGGTCGGCCGATTGGAAAAAAACTGGCTTTTTTTCAAATACTGGCCCCAATTGACCATCGCACTTGTTTGCAATCGATTACACACCTTTGAACGGGTACAAGCCAGCTAGACTGGTTCCCTGACCTTACAATTCCCCAATGTATGTAAACTGCTCTGTTTCTTCTTATATGGAGTCAGGGAACCAGACTACAGGAAAATGATTGTTTTTCTTGGTTTTTATAGCATTTTCGAACCCAAAACCTCAAAAAAAGTCAGTGTAACTATATTTGCTTTATATTTCCAACCCCCCAATTCCATCCATTTCTGAAAATTACAGCAAAAGCAAATGATGTATATTCCCTTTAAAGTACTATTACACGATGACTTTAATGCAGACAAGACCAGCACCCGATTTCATCAAACTCTTCGTAACTTACGATGCATCGCAGCGATGCGACGCGTCGTATCTCTACGATGCGTCGCAGCTGCGACGCGTCCTGCGATCCATTTCACGAAACACGTCGTAAGTGCGACGCGTCGTAGGTGTATTTATAGCACAACTCGATGACTGTTTTATGTATTTAGTCAGCGTACAGTAAATAGTCATCTGATTTTCAACAAAGAGTCGTCGGATCTCAGTTCGAAATTTGTTAAAACGTAAAACAAAATGGCGGCCGTGCGATGCAATTTTGAAGGAAAACAAGCTGTCAGTGGACTGTATAGCTACTTTGAAATTTCAACCCTAATATTCCGGTCTAATTCATAATTATGCAATGAATTTTCTATTTACAACTTTACACACATTGCCTCGGTATTATAATCTCGTTAATGTAATGTTTATGGCATAAAACTGGCTTAGAAATGACTCTTCTTATTTTGCGACGACCAATAGACACGTCTTAACTTGCGACGTGTTTTAAGCCGTTGTCAAGGAACTTACGACGCGTTCAACACATCGCAACTTTCGTGAAACGGAAGATACAACGCGTCGCGAGTTGCGAAGTGTTACACGTCGTAACTCGAGTTGCGACGCGTCGCAGCGCTTCGTGAAATCGGATGCAGGCGCAAAAAAAAAATGATTACGTCATCAGACAGGAAGTTATAATGAAAAAAACATAAAACCTTAAAAAAAAATGCTGAAAAATCAACAGCAAGAGGTAAAATCCAAATTTTTGCTTGAAATAGCATAGTTAACATAGCCCTCGAGCTTTCTGGTAATGACGTCACGATGACGTCATCATTTACCGTATTTCAAGCAACCAAATATCTAATATTTGAAAAACAACATAAACTCAAATGTTAGAGATTTGATTTTTTTTATGGCAATTAAAACCTTGTGGTTGTTTGCAAAAGATGTGAACTTGCTTTCGACGACGTGCGTCGTTGCCTAGGCTGTACTTTGCCAAAAATACTACAAGTGGCGTCATAAAATTTGAGAGCGTCCTCTATCGACATGTTTTAAAAAGCCAAATATTAAACCGGCAGTGGTTTTAATTTGAAATTGGCAGCAGATGTGAAATTGCTTTCAACAATGTGAGTCTCTGCCTAGGCTGTAATTTACAAAAAAAACAATACAGGTTTCGTCTTAAAATGTTAGGTCTTCCTCTAGCGGCATGTTGACAAAGTCAAAAATGCATTTGTAGTTGATGTGTGTGGCGAAGCTTGCGAAAATCAAGAGCCCACCACCGTGTTGTTGTTCCTACAACCTCCGGTCTGTTATCCTTGAAATTTACATGAAATCCCAATTTAGAGCTGAAAAGAAATGTGTAAAACAAAAAGTGTAAAAACATAATGTAATAACATATCTGTTAGAGTTTCAATCAGGAAATAAAGTGTGCTTCGGAGGTTTTAATCACTCTGTTTAAGACCGCTTGGAGTCTTGGTGCTGATAATAATAAGTAATTATCAGCACCAAGACTCCAAGCGGTCTTAAACAGAGTGATTAATACCGACTAAGCACATTATTAAATTTTATTCCCATTCATAAATACTTTTTCGGTTAAACAAATCAAAACTTTTCACTAAAAAAACCGTTTTTGTTCAAAAAGTTCACTTCATGTTTTTTGAAACACCCCTCTAGCTAAAAATAGCGTGTCTCACTCGCGGATCAGATGTAAACAACTCCTATTCATGGAGATTGGCGCGCGCGCCGCGCGTAATGCGTGACGTCGCGCAGAGGAAAGCACTTGGGGCGTTTTGCTGTGAATTTAGGACTATAAAATACTGACTCGCGGGTAGTATTGCGCAAGCATTTGTGAGGATTGTGAATGTTCAACCCAAAAAACGGTAAGAAGCACTGAATGTTTATGAGTCAACATTTCATGTGACACTGGAAAAATGTTTAAGACAAGCTAGCCATGTCTTTATCCTCCGTTTAAGACCTGCCACGTGACGAGCTTTCGACCAGTAGGAATTGGTTAAGTGTCCTAGGTATTTATGAATGAGTATTTAGTGCTGGCTGGCTGGCTGGGAAGTCATCAAAACGATCTACAATGACTGCCACTTTCTCAGCAAAATGTTGCCTGAATGTCATTGGCATTGTTTCCTTTAGCTGTTCTTTCTCTGGCCAAACAATAAGTACTTTAAGCCGCATGTAAAGTACATGAAAGACAGAAAGAAAAACCCTGGATGCAGTGGCTTGGAATATATGAAATATGTAAGCGAGATCCTGCATGGGTAAATTGAGTCGTAGTTTCATCAAAACAAGGATAAGTTTTTGAAGCTAAGTCAAAGCATTTCTCTTGCTATCAGAAATATATGGTTTAACAAAATCAAACAGAGCCATGAGAGTTAAAAAAAACAACCGGTAGTCCAGTGTAGTAAATCAATTTCTTGTTATCATGTTTGAAAGAATCCTCAGAAACATTGGTTTCCATCAGCTTCTCCTTCAGTTCCATATTTTCAGTAGTCAGCCTCTGGCATTCAGCAACTGTTTGCTGGTACAGGTCCTCACATGACACACTTAGTTGTTCATCAGTCACTTCATCATGGGGCACTGGCTGACATACACTTGAACTAATAGGTGCAGAAACACATGGTGAAACAACTTCTGGGGATCTGCAGGGGGTAACATCTGTTGCTTTATGCGATAATTCAAACAGTGCCTCTGCCCTAGCATGTTGATCTCGTTTTGCCTGTCGCTTGCAGACTCGTTGATATCGCTCTAAGTCATTATGCATAGAAGAGGTTGTCTTGATCTGAGATTCTGCATAGAGCTTCAATGGGGGAGCTCAGTCTGGAAGGTTCTTCTGGTACAAACCTGCAGGTTTTCCTAGAAAACAAAAATTGTAAATATTCACCACCAGATATATTCATTAGAAACACTCGTGCTATTTCAAATATGTAAATGTGATTTTCATTGAGGGCCCATAGAGAACCTGATTGAAGTGTCTATACGAACCTCAGTAAATATGAAAGAAACGAGTATAACCTTAAGATTTCAATCAGGGAGGTTTTCTGAAGAGCTTTATAGCTTTATGGTATTAAGTACAACTTTTGTGACCACTGTCTGTTGTGCTTAAAATGCAAATTTACAAGAATTTTGCTTTGGTTTTTGAAGTTGTATATTAAGCCAAAAATTCATCTCACTTCTTACTTTTAAGCTAAAAAGTCATGGAGCATTCTCATGATCATGTATATGAGCACATGTATGTGAACCTACATGTACACCATGTACAGTATTATCTGCAACATAGCCACAGAAGACACATTTTCTGTTTGAAACGAATGAATGTGGCATAGTGAAAAGCGTGTTGTACAAGCACATATGGTGCTTGTATTTTTAGTGGAAATAATTTTGTTTCCCACCCTCTACATTTTCCCTCTTACAGGCTTATCTAAAAAGCTGTAGAGGCGTTATTAAATTTGGACTGAGAAATATTTCCAATTCTCTTAATTCCTCATCAAACTAAATGAATTCACAGTAGTGGAGTCTAGAAACTAGATTCTGAACTTCTTGAAGGACGTCACTCAAAAATCTATTCATGAAAGAGCGAATTTTGGGTCCTGCAACATGTTTAATTCACTGTTTAATTGTCGGGAACGCAAAGAACCCCCTCTTCACTGAGGGATCAGATCTGTTTCTGCACCCATGAACGACACAAGTGTGTGGCATTTTCTCTCCAAGATGAGTATTTTTAAGTACGATATCTGCTGTTTAAGTACGATATCTGCTGCTAGTAAATGCCACTGTTGTGTTGTGTATAGGCCAATGCGAAATTTGACACACAAAATGGCGGCGGCTGCTAATCCGGATAATCGTGACGTCATGTTATGAATACTATGTATTGGGGCTGTCCCAGTAGCTGAATGTAAACAACGGCTGTTAACAGTCGATCCTGACCCCAAAATAGCCAAATACACAGTCAACTGACTCATGCTGAGTGTTTGGTGATAGCAGTTGGAGGGGGGGGGGGTGGTTTTCGACTTGTATCACTTTTGGCAAATCAATGGTTAACCAATTTGAAAATTGCCAGAATGCTTCAATCTTCGATATGCGTGTCCAGGGAACTTCTATTCATCTATTCAGAGCAAAAGGGAATGGGTTGTGTCCCCTAAACACTGTTATTTACGCGTAATACAAAACGACTTCCGCTGCAATGTCTTCGTATGTTCGTGTATATTCTGGTGATAGGAAGCACGGGTGGTTAATGTCTCATTTTGTTTTATATATGTTTTGAATTACTGATTCTATTTTGTGTATTGTCCAGTTTACATGTTTTTATGCAACAAGAAAAAAAAAAATTTGGTTGAATGAGTTACCGTGTCTATACAAGTTTAAATAAATAAATGAATAAATATATAGATGTCAACTTTTTTCCAGCCATCAGTGGGCGATTAAAACTGGAAACAATATGAAATATTAAACCTTTGTGTTCATCTTGTTATCATATGATTTCTTTTAGACATGGTATTGGTGGCCAGTCCCGACCCTCCGAGGATTTATGTTGCACCCACGGACACCTTCAATTTTACCCTCATCCATATCCCTGAGCTTGAGGCGAAAGCACAAAGAACCTATGACGTTGACTACGACCCTGAAGACGGTATGGTGTACTGGGCTGATTTTGTTTCTATCAGTCGTGCCTTTTTGAACGGAAGTGGTGTTGAAGTTGTGGTTTCAGACGGCGGTAAGATCACGATTTTTGAACAACCGATAATTTCACCCAATCAAAAACAAAGTAGGAAAGTCCAATAATGCTGCCTGGAATTGGATTAACTATTAACCGTGAAGGATTTTCCACTTCAACAATGCGTTTTTGTAACATATATCCGGTTATGTAGCTTTGTAACAATTCATGTAGTAAAGACCTTAACCACATGATGTAAAGACCTAATTTGAAAACAAGTATATTATCTCAGATATGATGACATATTAGTCGATAGGATTAACAGCTGGTCAAAGTTTAGAAATTTTGATCTATCCAACTTGTTGAAAGCTGATATCGAGGTCTAGACGATGACTGATTACAAATATACTCAATCACAAGGATGCCGTCATCCGAACAAACGGCAGAATAAAAAAAAATTATCATCTGTTTTGTTCTCAACTAAATGAAATTAATACAATTGGATATTTACTCCTCAGATGCACCTCGAAGTGACTTATCCTAAATGTACTGTGTGTACACGATACATCGGTTCGTGATGCGACGGTTACAGCCCGATAGTCGATAGTCGATAGTCCGGGGGTTCATTAGTCCAAAGCGTCATTAGTCCGATGTTAGTCCGAAGGTTCAATAGTCCGAAGGTTCGATAATGCGAAGGTTCGATAGTCCGAAGGGCCCATTAGTCCCGAAAATATAATGAGGTTAATGTATCCGAAGGTTCGATAGTCCGAATAGACCTATCGGACTTTATAGTCTCTTCGGATTATCGAACCTTATTGTCAATTTGGAATAATAAACCTTCGGACTATTGAACCTTATTTTCGTTTCGGACTATTGAACCTTCGGACTGATTAACCTTATTCTAAATTCAGACTTTCGAACCTTCGGACTAATGAACCTTCGGACTAATGAACCTTCGGACTAATGAACCTTCGGACTATTGCATCAAATGTTCGGATCAATGAACCTCATTTCATTTCCGGATTAACAAACCCTCTTTTATGGAAATTGTGTGCATTGGGACTATTTAACCTTCGGAGTAAAGAACCTTCGGACTATCGGACCTTCCGACTATCGTTCGGCCCCCGATGCGACTGACTTTGTAAATAGTACAAGTTATTAAGAATTGAACGAAGACACGTTCGTGAACCCGCCAGCACAAACATATTTTAATTCATATCCCTTATTCAAAAAAAAAATCCCTCTGCAAATAATGTACCATCTTGATATATCGATGTTGTGACGTCATAAAACCGGACACTATGGAATAAATTCAATTGTTTTCGCTTTTCAGTTACAGTTAGGGTCTTCCACCTTGATGTTGAGAATCGTGTGTTGTATTGGATGAATGACGGATCTGCAGATCTGATTGAGCGAGCTACCTTGGATGGACAAAACCGCTCCGTTGTCCTGGATTTGACAAATACGATTTCTTCCGTGTTTCTCCGTGGGCTTGTTGTGGACTCTACCAATGGGTAATATGTGCGAGGAGGGGCGGGGGTGCTTTTGGCCTCATGTCACACTGCACTCCAGAGATTTTATCCGTTTCCCCCCCTAAAATTGGCCCACGAAATTGCATTTTTTTTGTTGAAAACTAAAACCAGACCCGGCCCACGGGTTTGTGACATTCAAACTTAAACCATTACCAACCACCTTTAAGTGATTATGTCACAAATGTCCCTAATATTACCTGTTAATCAAGGCCCATTTTTGGAGTTGAAAAAAGCCTTTTCATTGTAAAAATGGTAAAGTCATGCCCCTGGTGATTGAACGTATAGGGTCAGGTATTCAGCTTACCATTCAAGAACATTCGTTTTCATTTGTTACAAAGGGTGTGCTTTAATTATTTGTGAAGGTCATTGTTCCACATAAGCACGTTTCAGTCTTTTTGTGTTCGTTGCTTTTTATTCACCAATATATTAAATACAGGTCGTGATATTGTGGCGACGTGGGACAGGGGAAAGGGGAAAGGAAAACTCAAAGGGACTGGTTTTATTCATCCCAAGACACAGACTGGCAAACAAAATATCCCACGAACAAAATATTTATTAACCTCAAACAAGGATGAGCGGTTACCCAGACGCAAGGGGGATAATTAATGAACGGCGGACTAAGCCTAAGGGCTGTTCGTTTGTTGAACATATACCACCGCTCTGGGATTCAGTGATTACTTGAAATAGAATAACAGTAATATAATTAATACTAATAAACCGCAGAGTGAATTTCAATAAACCTCGCGGAAACGTAAATAACTCTCATAATAAGATTTATTCAAGAATCACTTTTATCAATTTGGTTTGTTCAATAATCACAGCTTTAACAATAATATACAAAGGTGATTAATTACACACAAATAACCCTCGCATTTAATAACCCTCTGGGGGTCAACTGCACCACTTATGAGGAACACAATTTAATTAGGGGCCGTTTAATTTTAAAAGGGGTCGTTCATAAGTCCAACGCCTCATAGGTCCGACGCCTCATAAGTCCGAAATTTCGGACTTATGAGGCGTCGGACTTATGAGGCATACAATTTATTTATTCCGCCTCATAGGTCCGACGCCTCATAAGTCCGACGCCTCAAAAGTCCGACAACGGAAAAATGAGGCGTTTAATTTGTCGGACTTACGAAGCGTCGGGGCTATGAGGCGTCGGAGCTATGAGGCGTCGGACTTATGAAGCGTCGGACCTTTGAGGCGTCGGACATATCGGCCTTTATTTGGTTAGGGGATGCAATTCTGCCGGACCTATGAGTCGTCGGACCTATGAGGCGTCGGACTTATGAGCGGACCCCCCCCCCCCCAAAAAAAAAAAGGAAGGAGGAGGTTTTTGTTTCCTTCCAAAATGGCCCCCTGACCGGGGTATTTTTCAAAATGGCCTCCAGCTTTTGTTTAAGTGGCCGCCACTTGGACTCAGGAAATAACACACCAGCTTTAAATGGGCCAGATGCAACAAACAAAGAGGCAAATATTTGATGTCACTATATAAAATGTATCCTTTTTTCGGTTTATAAAAAAAAAAACTTATATGGGTTCGGGGACGCTCAACATTTTTTTTTAATTTGGCCTTATACAATAATCCTCAAAACCATAACGCAGTCAACTGCACCATCTAGCAGGGACAATCCTCACAAAGTATTAATCCTCACGCAACTTAAGTTATCCCAATAATACACAACACGGGTCACTGGACAAGGAAATTATAATAACCCTCGCTTAGTACTGTATACCTCAACCCAGAAATATAATAATTACTCTAAATACTATAATGAGGCGACTTTCCTATTGACTCGTGCACAAACCTACACTGTCACCTAACCCAAGTCTACCTTACCCTTTCTCTACGAAATTCGGTATTTTTACCAATAGGACGACGAGGAATTTATCTAGATATAGTTTGCGATTATAAAATTCCCTGTTCTAAGGGTCGATTTCACAAAAGGGCGACAGTTATAATGTCACCTTAATAAGGTGAATCGCCCAATTGTGGACGCAGTTAGCAAAATCTGTCGCCTTATTATAGCATACAACGGAATAAAATATTTCTTTCGCTTCGCCAAAGAAAGCACGCTATTCTTGTTTGTCTTTTGCGTAACTCAAAAGGGGGACAAACACCAACATATATTACAATCACATGTACAGAGTGCGTGATTTCATTGGCTCGTTTATCATTTTAGCTCGGCACTTAGTTCAGGCTCGCCGCACACAGTGAGTTTTTCTCCTCGCGAGGCGAAATAAATAAAACAGGACAGAAATTGGCCAAACGGCCTCGCGGGGCAGAAAACTCTGCAAAAAGTTACCGCACACTGGGATACTTTGCATTAGGCTTTATTGGAAGCAATTACATAAGGTAAAATACACTGTAGATCCATGATAATAAACACAAGCACTGCTTTTAAACCGTGTCCATGAATCCAGTCAAGGTACAGGATAATTCAGTAAAAAAATGAAACCACGTAGTATCCTGAAAATGATATCAGAATAATCTCACAAGTCTCCAGGGAAGCCAAGTAGAAGGCAGGGCAAGACTGTAAACTCTTGACATTTTAAAGCATTTTGGTTTTATTGGAAGCAGTTGGTTGTTAAATAATTGTTATTTATTAAGTGCCAGTTATCATATGAGAGTGTTGAGGGTTTTTTTTAGTTTTTTTTTGTTTTTTTTATATGTGAATAGTTTTGCTGAGACATCACTTACACTACAACAAAGCCTATTAATCGGGCTTTGATATCCTAAATATGGAAAGTGCTACAATAAGAGCTTCTTTAAACAACAACAGGGGGCACCAATTGGGTTTCATTGACTCACCCTGTATACGCCGCATTTCGCGTAAAAAAACAGGGTCTTATCATCCATATCTTTTCAAATAGCACAGAGTCTGGTTACCTTAATTTGGTCTTCATTTTCTCTCTTTTTTATGCGAGTGGGGGTTCCAGACGTTGTAAATAAAAAGTAGCACAACACTTTTTGTTCATGTGTGGGGAGCCCATCACGGGTAAGGTCAGTCGTAAATGAAACCAAAGGAATACAAAAGGATGCATAAATATTTAAAGATTTATAATTGAATAAGTGCCGTTTTTTTGTGGTTAGCAGCTTAGCTATGTATCGGGAAGACATTCAACAAGATTTGTTTTTTTATAGGTTTTTGTTCTGGTCGTACCGAGTTAGTTTAATGGGCATGATCGAGCGATCTGATCTGAATGGCAACCATCGTCGAGTGCTGATCAATAGTGGCATCCTTTCTGCTTATGGTTTAACCCTCGACGTTCCAGGTTAGTTAATTCTTTTCAATTCGTATCCTTCGAAATGACATTTAACCAAATGAAGACAAACAATTTTGTTTGTACAGCCCCCAACTCACCTGATGGCCCCTCTTAAACTTCACCCATTGTAAACATGACATTTCAACCATACAATCTTCACTGTCCGATTGGGTTAGACAACAGAACCATACCAGAAATCTTTACAAACGAGACCTTTGCAAACCTAGGGATTGATTCGGACTACCATTATGAAAAAAAAGT